AACTGGTAGGGTAACTTCTTATGGGTGGATATTTACTAGATGAATCAGTGGTAGACTTTTGAAGGCTAAATAGGGAAGCTGAGTACTTCCTTTGAGATGTACAGCAAATAGAAATGTAACAGAGGAGATCTCTCCCCACTTCTCCTTGGCACTCCCCTCATCCCTCCCAGCCACTGCAGGAGTCTCTTAGATGGAGGCAAACTGTTTTGAGATGAGTGCTTGTTCAAGATCCAACTTGCATTACACCTTTCCTTTTGGAAGGAGGTTTCCATGAAAAGAGACAGTCACAGCCCAAAACAACAAAAAGGAACTTTTAAGTCTGAATCTGATGCAAACTCTTTAGACGAGCTTGTGTCTCTCTTCACATTTATTTCCCCCTTGGAAAATGTTGCTCTGTTGTTACAAACAGTCACCTTCATATTTCTGTACATGGGAAAACACAAATCCAAATGCTGTTATTATTTCATTTGCTAACATTATTTTTTAATATGGAACTTTTAAAAAATATTAGACAAAAGATTATAGAAGCTTTATTACTTAGTAATAAAATCAAGTCAATGAGTCAGTGAGTCTCTCTTATCGTCTAATGACCTAATATTTGCAGTAGATACTGTATCAGCTTTCTGTTAAAATATGAAAAAAAAAAAAGGTACCTTTTTGGGTAAAATGACAAACAAATCTATTCTCATCTATACACAGGCTTCTCAGTTTGTTTTTTTTTAAATATCTGGGTTATATCCAGATGTATTTAATAGGGAACATGAAATAGTTGGTTTCTGTTTTGATTTCAAGTTTCATTGCTGGCCTTCTGCCAGTAACAGGACTGGTACAGAGCATAACTGAACGTCAAGCTTGGAATACAAACAAAGGAGGATCTGCTAAAAGTCCTTGTTTCTTCTTGTTTGCTTTTATTATGTCAAAGATTAGAAAGAGGAAAACATAGATGTTGTCTGGGTCAAGCTGAGCTGCAGCCCAAGGACAGAACCCTTTCAAAATATTGTTGGGAAATAATATCCTCCAGATTGTTGCCTGGGTTGTTGGAATCTGCTGTTGGATACCAGTCTTTGGGAAATCCACCAAAGGAGAGTGCAGACTTGTTTTGTTGGAATGACCAGAGAAGACTTGAACATTCAAATGTGAAAGGTTGTGCTGTACTGAAAGCTGTCTCTTGGCTTCAGTGTTTCTCTTTTCCTTCTGCAGCTGCTCTGTTTTCAAGTTCACATCTATAATAGCTCATCTGTTGTCAGAATTCTTAGACACAAACCCTTAATGTTCATCCTGATCTGTATTTCTGGTAGTGGAGTCATTCTGTGCCATGCTGCTACTTAGGCTGCATCAAGAGTTTTCCAATCTTAGTGATCTTCACAGTTATATGTTCAGTAAAACGTGATGCCCGAGTGTGCAGCAGTCCCTAGTAAAGAATCAAAGTATATGAAAGGTTTCACATGGGCTGCCATAATTGTTCCTGTGAAGCTAACAAAAATGATTTTTCTTATTGTAATTTCCTGTTGTGGGGAATTGCTGTTAGGGTTTGGATTTTTAAATTAATTCTAAGTAGTTTTCTGTGCATAGATTTTGGAACTCCTTTGCATATGCTGGTGATGTACTGGTGTGAAGCTGGGAGACTGGGAAAGTGTTGGCAGCATACATGCCCAAGGGGAGCCCGGGTGATTTGCTTTGGGGATCCAGGTGCAACTTGATGGTTCTGTTTTTGAATGCAGAGTTAATGCTTTGTGATGGAAATCCAAGCAACACACAGTACCTTGAGAAGAGATTACAGAGTTGTAAGGACTTGAGTGCATTTTGATGTTCCTGTCCCCTAAACAGCTTGAGCAGTTAGCCACTGCCTGTGTTCAAATACATTAACCTTGTTCTGCGTTGACAGACTTTTTTGCTTCAAAGGTGAGACCGTTTCTGGATTCAGTTAAAATGAGAGATCTGTAGCCCATCCCCAGATTAGCTCTAGGAGACACTTACTTCAGGTCCCAGTCTTTCTTACTCAGATGGTGCAGATCTTCACTGCCCTGCTGACAGTCTAAGTTTAGCCGTTCCTGTGCCCTCTGGCTGGGCAAGTACCTAAGCCTGTAAATGGAGAAGAGCTGGAGAATAGTACCTGCAACAGGTTTGATGCTGAGAAATTTCCTTGTTTTATAAAGAAAGCTCATGTTCAGGCTTCTGTGTGTGTGCAAAGGGGCTGTTGCCTTGTGCTCGATGCAGTTCTTCTTGACATTAATTTGTTAAAAGTCCTACAGACTCTAAATGCTTCTGGAAAACAGCCCCCACCTCCTTCATCTTAATCGGTTATTTAATGTTTGCCTTCCAAAGCGTTTTGGAGGATCCTTAAAGCAACAGGATGAGAAATCAGTCACTGGAAAGTCAGCTAAGATGCTCACTTCTGTTGACATGTTGCCTGGTGTAGATTTGCCTTGGGATCATGCCTTCATTCCTGTTAAACTTCGTTACGCTGTGTCACACTTACTGCTTGAATGATCTTTTAATATGGTGTAGAGCTATTATCATTATAAATAAAGCACTCTGAAGTTCCTTACAGAAAGCATAAAAAAACAAAGCTCCCTCTGGAAGTACTCTCGAGTAACATGAGCCAAAATAACAAGTGGAACATAACTAACCCAGAGAAGTGAGGATAGTCCTCAGTGCCAAGGTGAGCATCAGGAAGATTGTGAAGGTGCACAAAGAGCTGGGAGAGGGAGAAATCATTCCCTCCTTGGAGACTAGTGAAGGGGATGGAGGCCACAGGCAGGACGAATGTACGTATGAGTGGAAGGGTTAGTATGTAGAGAGTAGAGGCTGGGCCAGGATGGAAGTATGGGGAGCTTGAATTCAAGGTGGAACCAGAAACTGGTTGACGCAGCGGGGTGGTCGCCACAGTGTGAAGGCAAGAGCTAGTACACACACGTGAGAAATGCCGCAGGACGTTTGCTGTTAGACCTCTGCTGAGGTCACGTTTTGGAGCTGTGGCTTGTTCAGTCTAGTTACCATGAGTACTTACCCGCTGCCCCACGAGAGTGTTGACCATCTGTAATGTGTTCATGAAGATGCACACTGTCATAGCTCCATATCTTTTAAGCTGAGGCACAGAGGGGCTGAAAGAGCTGTCTTGTTATGCTTTGGATATGTTGAGACAGTCAAATACAGTTTCATGATCAGGAAGTTTAAGCTAATACCTTAATCACTGGATCGTCCTACCTCCACAAAGTGTCTTTTAGCTCCTACGTAAAAGGGCACCTATGCATAGACACACACATAGGTGTTTAAGATGCATTAGGTAACAAATTACTCTCTTAAAAAAAATTAAAATCTCTTCTGTATTTGAAAACTGACTACTCTGCTTGAGACTCTGTAAGTACTGGGGGCAGGAGACTCATCAAAACTGTTCTCTGTATGTTTTGGGTATTAACGACTTGAAATGAACCCAGCTTCTGCTCTAGTAGTAGAGCCAAAGAGGCTTTTTAGCCAGGCTACACTGCAAGGGTGAGACAGCAACTGGGTCTGACAGTTGTGGTGACTGCCTGTGCGAAAGGTCCTGTCCGTTACTCTTCCCAAGTGTCGGCAAAGTTGAACGCATCTTTGGGGAATTCACTCTCTGTGTTCTGTAGGGATTATTAAATACGTCAGACACGTATTGCCACTGAAGGGTGCCTCACGCCCTGGGAAGGAAAGCTACTTGTGTGCTGTGGGTGATGCAGTGGGTTCATTAAACCCCAATGCTGGATCCTCTTAGCCTCAAAAGAATAATCCCCTTGTGGCAAGCCATCAGTTCAGACTACGTAGTCAGCAGAAAGCAACAGTTTGCCAGTTTGCCTCCTGGGCCGTGCTAGGGGGAGTGGAGGAGGTCTGCTTACCCGGTCAGTGTCTGGAGCAGAATCACTTGCTGGGAACAGATAAGGCCATTCTTTTCTCTCTAGCTCAGTATCTAGCAAAGTGCATCTCCTGAGGCCACCTCATCATACTCCTAAATATCTTTTAGAGTATGTATTGTTCTCTGAAGTCACCAACTTAAGGAAGTAGGACTTCATGGAAGTCCATTACTTGCAGGAGCATTTACTGTTCATTTGCATGAACGGATTTAAAGAAATGAGTGGAAACTTAAAGATGGCTTTGGGAAGTTGAATAAAACAAAGGACAATGCTAACTTTGGAAATGTTTGTTTGATTTTGGATAGAGTAAGATGGATGCTTCTTTGTCTCATTGACTTAATGGGGCCAGATGAAGGAACTCTGCTTCTGTTCTGAGAAACAGAAGGAAGTTTTGTTGGGTTTGCAAGGGCAATACCTGACGGTGTCAGTATTCACGGCAAAGATGCAGTAGTGCAGTCATGACCTCCGGGAATGGGGAATTCAGTTCCCAAGATAAAGATCCATGAGAACATTAACTTTGCTTTGTTCTTGTAGTCAGGAGAGAAGAGTATAAACTTAGAGCAGTAGCAAGATAGATGCTTTCAAAACTCAGTGAAGACACAGTCTCTTCAGCTCTGCCAAAAAAACTTAGAGCTCTTATTGTCCAGCTCTTAACACTGTCTTGAGCCCAGCTAGAGGACAGCAATAATAACAACATTAAAGAACCCAGATGTAGTTCGGAGCTTAGTTCAGACAGTTGTGATGCTCACGTGCAGTAACTCAGTGCAAGGCTGACCCCAAGATAGCAGTGTGTCATCTTTCTTCTCCAAATTGCTTTTCTCAGCTCTGCTCACAGCTGTTACTGTGGCACTTTGCCACTGGCTCCTTTCTGAGTTGATGCGGTTGCAGCACAGGTTTCACTGCTGGTGGGGAGTCCACAGGAGAAATTTGCCATCAGAAGACAGTTAGCTGTCATGTTTGTGTTCATTCCAAATGTCCGTGTCAAAACTTTCTGGTGACTTCCTGCATTGCCAGTGGCCTTTTGCCTCCCCTCGATGAGAAGCTGGACATTGAGGTTTTTAACATTGGCTATTCTGTTCCCCAGAAACATTCTGGTTTTCACTCTCTGTATTTGTTTTGCAGGAGTATATTGATGCTCATCCAGAAACCATTATCCTGGACCCTCTTCCGGCTATTCGTACACTTCTGGACCGATCCAAGTCTTATGAGCTGATTCGGCAAATAGAGGCATACATGCAAGGTAGGCCAATACCTGCTCTACCTGAAGGCTTTTACTGTGACTAGAGAAGGAAGCAGCTGGCTTCTAGAGGCTGGACATGATGTTTGAAGTAGTGGTTTTGGGCCCCTTGCATTCTCTATTTCCATGGGAGTGCAAACACTGATGCAATCCTGTGACACAGGATTGCCCTCTGGAATCCCATGCTCTTCTTTTTCCAGATACACAAAGGAGGTTTGCATCTGGTTAAAAACGCGATGAGTGTTTAATAGGGAGTGTATTTACTACAGTGAGCACTCCAAGAAATCTTCTGGAAAACATTGTCTTTTTGTGCGTGCTGGTAAATTGAAATGACTGTGCAAACTTAGAAGTTTGTCGTAAGAATCCTGAGGCATGAATATGAGGAAGATTTATGGAAGAAGAAAAATTGGTCTTGGAAAGGACTGAAAGAAATTAAACTGTGAATAGAGCTAAGACCTTTGAGAAGCACTGGGAGCCTATTGCACAAGTTAATCGCCGGAAGGAACATAAATGCACTTCTGGTGTTGGCTAGTTACCTGACATAGACTATTGCCTTTAATTGGCATCATTTGAGTTGTATTCCCACATTTAGAAGTTATGCCTTTTCAGCCTGAATAATTCTAGTATCTTATAATTTTAACCATTTTAACTGTTGGGTTAAGTTAGTGTTTCATTCCTTTTCTACTTCTGTTACTATCATATTCTTGAAACGTTTATTGGCTTTTGAGTTTAAATCTAGAGTAGCTCTTGAAGTAACTGTTTCATATGTTAGATAACTCTCCTTGGAGCACATTGCTCTGCTGAACTGTGTTCTAATGGGGTGTTACTGGAATTACCATTGTGATTGTGTTATCACTATCTTGATGGGCAGATAGGAAGCTCATCAGTTTGTATTTTTATAATTGTGGGTTTGTAGACGTATGTTTTCATCTGACCTGCCTGGCCACATCAGCAGTGTCTTCACATAAAAATAAGACTAATAATTTGGAGCACTCTTCCTTGCCTTTTGGAATCTCTTTAGGAAAAAATGTTCAATTAGTTTAAAAGGATTTTGTATTGTACTAGTTATTGCTGTTTGTGAGTGAGAGAGAGGTGCTGAGGAAAACCTGTACTCCAAGGAAGTGGTTGGGATTTTGTTCCAACAATGGAGAGATTCAGTAGAGGGTTTTTTTTCCTAAATTGCTATCAGTATTATTATTGTTATCTCCATGAGAACAATATATTTGCGAGAGCATCCAGTTTTATAAGTAGCTTGTCTTGCACATATTTTGGCCTCCTCTGGTCAAACTGATAAGAAAAAGGAATAAATGCTTAAGAACGGGGCGGGGGGGGGAGGTTTGTATTCAATTAAAGCTAATACTTTGAAGAGAAGCTCTTAATAAATTTGAGGAATGAGGTAAGGAAAAGCTTCACTTCTTCTCATTGGCCGCTGCAGTGTTAAGTGACCAGATTTCCCCTATCCCTATGTCCCCTCCCCATCTCATCTTATTTCTGTCTTATAATCGGAAATATCATGACAGAGACCTTGAACTAACTTTATATTTAGCAGGAGAGATCTCAGGAGAGCTGAGTAATTGGCTAACTTACCATTCTGGGCTAAGTAGATCAGCCTCTGTATTCCTGTACATAATGATCTGCAGTGAGAAAAAAGTTACATCCCTCTTAAAGTGTTGTGGATTTTTCTCCCCCCTACTCCTTGTTTTCACCTGCTAAATTATGTTTTCTCCTTTGCAGCTGTCATCTCGTATCCCAAGGCCATGAGCACTTAGAAAATTCAAACAAGAAGTAGTACATCTGTGAATAGCATGAGTTGTATTAGGACCCACATCTTTTTTCGTTCTGGAATTTCAAAATGGAAGTCACTACCAAGAAAATAATATCCTAGTCTTTAGCTGTAACTAGAGAGCCCAGTTTATCACAGGATACAAAATTGATTGCTTAAGTTCAGTGCAAGGGATTATCTCTTCCAAAGCAATGCTATAAACACTGGAGGGTTGAGTATGTATGTAAGGAGAAATCTTCTGCTGTTGAAAATCTTTCAAAATAAAATTCAGTGTTTGTTTACAGACCAATTTTGGATTCAGGTGATCATTACCTCTATTTGAAATATGTTTTAAAGTAACTATAAATGAAGTATATTCTTTATGTATGGTCTTCAGTTTACAATTCATTTCAACCCTATAGACCTTACAAGAAATGTATAACTAAAGATTGGCACCCCTTGAGTTAAAGGGCGGATGACCACATGCTCTGCTGACTCCAGTTTGTACTGTGCTGAATCCTTCTCCCTCTGTGTTGCCTGCACTTTTGAAATAGCAGATGTTGCCGAGGTGACTGTGTTTAGAGCCCAATGTTCTGTAAGCAGCTTGATTTGAAATGTAATTATCTTTCAGATGTCCAGGTTAATGCCTTGCCTGCTTTTTTAACAGTGAATTCTCCATGCTTCCTGAAAAAGGGAGTCGCTATTTGAAGTGTCTAAAATTTGGTATCTAGACATCATCAAGCTTTCATAAAGTCCTGTAGCTTGTTCTTTATTGAGTCAAATGCCTTGAATGATAAATACTTTGATCCAGCCTCCTAAGAATGGGTTGGAAAGATGCTTTGTGACACACTCCTTGTCTCTGCTACCACAGTCTGTGGCCACTAAAGGAGCTGAGGTGGAGGAAAATTACTACCTGGGCAAGAGTTGTACGTGTAGTCTGAGGGAAAGCACAGGGTTGAACTTGGACTTTCCATGTCCTAGACTGACACTGTAACCTCTCAATCCTTGTGGAAATAGAAGATTCATAGATTTACGGAATCACTGAGGTTGGAAGAAGCCTCTTGAGATCACGAAGTCCAACTCCCTTCCCAAAGCAGGATCCTCTAGAGAAGGTCCCCCAGGTCCATGTCCAGTTGGGTTTTGCATATCTCCACAGATGGAGACTACATAACCTCTCTGGGCAACCTGCTCCAGGATTCACCTTGAACCTGGAGTGCTAGCTTTCAACAAGCAGTTGCTGAAGTGACTTGCAGAGATTTTTATTTTCTTTAGTACAGATAGTGATATCTCCCTTGGAAGGGAGTGGGACTTTTTTTGGAGGGGGGAGAAGGAGGAGGGGGAGAGCTTTAAGAGGTATTTTAGCCTTGGTTTTAATGGATTCTTTTTTGGAAGCAATAGTCTGGCCAGGGCTGTGACTTCCTCTTTTTCCTGTTCTGTGTTATTTTGAGTGCAAGCTCAAAAAGAGCTAGTTATTCCGAAACCTTCACTTCTGAGTCTTTTTAAAAAGATCTGAAAAGATAAAGGTTGTATTCCCAACTTGTGTCCTACATAGCTGGTCGGTCTATCTTGAAATAAATCACTGAATAAATTTTTTGTTATAGCAGTTGAGTTCTCTCAGGAGCTGTATGGCTTTGTTTACTTATCTGTGAAGAATTGCTTCTGGTATAGAAGTGCTCCAGATCAGGTTCTATAATGTTTGGTGAAAGATCAGGAGCATTATTTAATGGAAATTTCATTTTTATCAGGGTATTGTATGGTTGCAACTTTGTCAGCCTTTTTTAAGCTTTAGCCTCATGAAAAATAACTAAATTCTCTTGTGCCATGTTGAAAATGTGTGATCCCACAGCCTTGGAATTCAAGATCTGAGTTTTTAAATTATGCTTAAGATGGTAATAAGTAATCACTGTGACTATGCACTAACTAACCTTTCTACATTATGTTTTTAGTTTTAAGATTAAAATTTTAAAATTCCCTGCATATCTTGCAAGTAATAATTTAAACTGAAGGAATTTAAACCAAAACTGAGGTAAACATGCTACTTACTTGCTGCTCTACCTAGTTAGTGTTCCCATCTGCTACTCAGCTTCCTTTGCTGTCTCAAGTGACTTACAGGTTTCTTTGTTAATGTTTGAACTTCAGATATTGCAGACCCTGGAGTTAATTTCTTTAACCACTTCTACCTGTCTTTTTTTCATTATTTTAAAATTTTCTTGCTCTTAGATTCTTAAATTTAACTCCAAATCTTAAATTTCCACAGAAACTAGTCTTCATGGGGTTACCCTAGAAGAGAAAACTCTCTTACAGCTCCTGAATTTCTCTCTCCTAACGGTTTTTTTTGAAGTACAGGAACTAGTCCCTCAGGACACTGAGCAGTATAAAACCCTTTAGCTGTGATACTTTCATCCCAGCATGTAATCCAAATAATTTTTGTTTGATTGTTTACTGTTATATGAGATGCTGTTGCTGCTGTGTGTGCTCCTTTCTGATTTTGGGGGATATTACAGAACAGATCACAGCATCCTTCTCTCTTCTCTGGATTTTTTTTTTTTTTTTTGTCAGATTCTGTCTGTCTGTGTTGGAAATACTCCTTAAACAGCTGCATGTATCTTCTATGAGTAGGAGAGAGGCTCAGCAGGGTGTAATGGGTAAGGCACTTGATTTGGGGCTCGGGGTTTTCTGCTTGGCACTGGTTCTGACTTGCTGCATGACTTTGGGCAGAGCATGTCACCCCTGTGCGTCTCTTTCTTCCCTTGGCACTCATGTGCCTGTCTCTTCCCTTTAGATGCCATTTTTCAGGACAGGAACCCCTTTTCCAGATACACATACACACACTCTGATATATAGTGAGTCTCTGATGCCAAGCAAATCCGTGTAGCTATTGTTTTAACAGAAATTGTAGATCTGTTGTTGAGTAGGAAACTGTGTATTTGCAATTCAACACCAAAGTAGGTAGTCAGGTTTTATTTTTTGGAAGTTATGGAGCATGTACATTGCTGGAGTGGTGCATACTCAGAACTTGTCAAAATCAGGCCACCCAGTTAAAAGTGCCTGAAAATAGCTGTATATACTTAGCTCTAGGCATTCACCTTTTGAAACTGTGGCCTCTACTCTCTGTGGCCTACTTTTCATAGCAGTTTTGGTCAGAGAGGAGGAAGAACAATAGTCACAAAGGTCAACTTCAGGCACCTCTGTGTGTATTTGAAGCTCCTATTAAAATGAAAGGAAAAATCGGGTTTTAATT